CCCCCTCCGCATTGCCCGGTGTGCAGACGCCGCGCGCTGGGGTCCCGGCGACCCATATCGTCTGCAGGCCTGGTCCCCTCTTTTCTGCCGCGGAGCCCTGGAGACGGTTTGACCCCGTCGCCCGCCCTCTGCTGGGGACGTGGTCTCCACTGGTTCGCCTTTCTTTGGATTAATCTGCTCCTCCCGCGTCTGATCCCTGCGCCTCGGCTGTCGTCGGGTCCCCTGAGGGGTCTGTTCCTTCCCTGCACTTCCCAGTCGGCCCTGCCACACCCTGGTGTCCTCTCGGGTCACCTGCTGAATGAGGCGGCCGGGGTCTGCTGAGCCCGGATGCGCTTTCCGACTCGGGGAGCCCAGAGAGCCTGGCCTGCGGGGCTCTGCGGGAGGCCCAGGAGTCTGCGGATGGAGGGACGGTGGGGGCCCGGGTTAGGGTTCCCTGAGCCCAGCCACACTGCTGCGTCTCACTCGGGGCTGTGGATGGTTCTTCTGTCTGAATTAGTTTTTTTTTTACTTCTGAAATGTTAGGGACACTTTCACCAGTTATAGTACACAAATGTAGTCAGGCGCGCTCTTCTAAGCACTTGATGTGTTAGCCTCACTGAGCTTCGCCGGTACCACGATCGCCCCTGCTCCATAGATGGGAAGCTGAGGAGCAGAGGGCTCAGGGTCAGAGCGCGTTAGTAGAAGAGCTCGGTCTGAACCCAGGCAGGCCACCTCCACCACCGCAATGCAGGCCAAGCCACAAGATCTTACTTTTTTTTTTTTTTACTCACCTTATACTGGGTGCAGCCCAGTAGTGACAGAGGTGGCAGTCAGACCTGTTCCGTGTTTGCCAGAGTCCTCAATCCCATCACCCTTTTCTGGTACTATCTTGACAGGCTTCTGCTGTCCCCAGTTATATAGGACCTGTGCAACAGTTTCCTTCCTAACAATTTCCTGTCCGTTTCTTTACACTTCTGGAGTCATCTCGCCAAGAGTACAGTGCCCTCTCCCTTGTGCTTTTCATCCTCCCAGCTCATCGGTGTCTGGCTTTTGTTTTGGTGCAGGGGATCCAACCCAGGGCCTCGAGAGTGTTAAGTGCACTCTACCACTAAGTTGCACCCCAGGCCCACTGCAGTAGCTTTATTACCGTTCATTGTGGGGATTGCAGGAAGCACTTCTGGACAAAAAACCCAAAATTAGTTATTTAAACAAATTAAAGTATATTAGACATGTCTGTTTGGTTACTTTCACACATTACCTGACACCCACAATTTAAAGGAGGAAAGGTTTGTTTTGTTTGTTTTTTTTCGTTTTTGAAACAGTCTCACTATGCAGTTCAGGCTGGCCTTGAACTCACCATGTAGTCCGGGCTGGTGGTGACCTAGAAGTGATCCTCCTGCCTTAGTCCCATGTACTGGGATTACAGGTGTGCGTCACCTCACCTGGCACTGGCTTAGAGTTTGTAAAAGTTTCAGTCCATAGCTGGTCCTGTAAGACTTGAATAGGCTAAAGTGACTCCATGCTACTAGGCCAGACTGTGCTTCTTCATATGCTAATTGCTACCTTGGTTAACAGCCCGCCCAGGGGCAAATGGTTTGACAAAAGGTGACCCTAGAACATTTCCTGCATAAGATAAGCAATGTGTTTGCAGTCTTGTTCTGTGAATTCCCTGACTCTTTGTTTAGAAAAACCTTATAAAAAGTACCTCAGCCCCTGAGCAGTTGCCTCTCTGAGCCACCTGGCTCCGGGAGTGCCGTCTGGCCAGACT